GACTCAATATATTTCAATGTATATTTAAACAATTTAAATTTACCCCCTATTCTCAAAATAAAATATTTTAAATTTAAATTTAAATTCCCAAAAAAAGAAGAAATGTTTTCTATGAAATCAATTTATTTAATAATATTTTCTTTACTGTTTTTGGCTGGCAATATTGTATGTCATAGTGGTCCTTCAAATGAACCTCCATGTCATGTTGATCCAAATGGGCAAGAATGCAAGAACTGTCTTAAACATCAATATCCTCGTCACTGTTAGTAACTTGAAAAAATCTACTAAATGGAAGTGTGTGGAAACAAAGGGAAATAATTAAAATATATTTTAATTGTGATTTTGGGTTTTATTTTAAAATAATGGGAAATTAACGAAAAACAAATGGGCATTTAATTGATGTTAAATGATTAATCTTTTTCTCAACTTTTTAGAAATAAAATTAAATACTGGGATAAATTGGTGAATTTTGAAAATTCTATTTCAATTTATTTATAAAAATATGAAGGATGTAAAAGTCAAGCCAGTAGTTAAGCCAATACATATTGATAGTTCAATAGATTAAATAAAATAATTTTCGAGGCGTATTTATCGAAAAAACTAAAAATTTATTGCAAATTTTATTTTGAAATTCACTCTTGATAGTATTTAAATATGCTTGTGAATTTATAAAAATTGATCAGAAATTAATCTTTAGGCCTTCAATTGTTTTCTTAGTATTTAACTTGGCATACGCTCAATTGTAAGTTGATGATCTCGAATATAAATAATTGGGACATCCCGAATTTTGAGGATACTTCTATGTAAATCTTTGTCACAAGTAGCAACGACACAGTTTTTGTGCTAGAAAAATTAAATCAAAAAAAAATTTGGAAAATTAATATAAATAGAAGCATTAAATTAGTGGGGGTGGAAAAGTAAAAGGACTAAAGTATCTAATCGTTATCATTATTTCCCAATTATTTGTTTTCTATACAAAAAGAAAGTTAGAAATTAACAAATCAGTGAATTCAAACTACTTCACCAGTTTCGTAACTCCTTAATTATCAAAATAATTTACATAATTCAAATATCTTCGAAAAAATCACCCCAATTATATTTGAAACTAACGTATATATTCCCTATATTTGAAATTTCCAAGGAATTTATAAAATTGAATGACTACAATTACCTCTTCAACTCTACGAATAATACATTCGTCTGAATTGATACTTTTTTTATGAGAACAATGTAGTCTTTGCCAACGATAATCGTTTATAATTTTCAAAACTGATTTAAAACGACGTTCCTTCCTTTCCAATTCAACAATAACACATTTGGGAATGTATGGAATTACTAAAAAATTTTTGTAAATAATTTTAATCATTTCGATATAAAAAACCTTTATCAAAAAGACAATCCTCAAATCCTTCCATTATATCCAATCGATTTTTTACGCAATAACTAATAAAGGTTGCATCAACCATAATATGAAATGGAGGGCCGAAAACGTGTTTCATACTTCTGAAAATTTAAATAAAAATTTATTTCAAAAAATTTTAATCCTTACACTTTTTTAATTCTCACTGCTTTTTCATCTCCTTTTTTACTAGCTTTAATAGCTCTTTCTTTAACTACTTTTTGTATATCAGCATATGCTTTATCAGTCACCTCCTCTTCATTTTTATTAGAATCTGAAGGTTCTTTTTGATGTAGCTTCAATTGTGAATTAATAAAATCAAGACTTGGAGCTCTTTTTCGTGTATAAAGACACATCAATATTTTAGAAATAAGACGAATATCACAATCAGACACATCGAAGAGCTCAAACCTTTAAAAAATAAACACTTAAAAATTTTTTTAGAAAATCCAAGAACCATGGAGGAGACTTGGGAAGAATTACAGGATGATCAACAGTTTTGGCAGCTAATTGAATACAAGCACAAGCAATCGTTTCTGGAGTATAACGTAAAAATATATCTGTTCGAAGACCATCATTCATATAACTCCTTAAAAATGAAATGAATTCTAATAAATCAAAAACAAAATACCAAGCTTTTTGAAGTAATTCTTTACTCCTGTTAATCTGTTCTTTAGTCGCGTTCGGATCACTTTCCTTATATAACAAGCCAAGAATATGCAAGTAAATGTAGACGAATTTGTGAGGGTGGTGTACCTATAATTATTCGGCACTCGTATTGATTGAAGTACACAGACTTTTTACTTAAAAAGGATCAAAATGGTCAAAAATAGAAACTTTTTACATTGGAAGCTTTTTCTCTGTGACTATTCCCAACTTTTTTATTCATAAAATATTTGTGAACGCGGAAAAATGCCTTCCTTTTAATTAAAAAATCGACAAAAAGAGTGAACTCCAATCCTAACAAGTGCCGATTATTTTAAAATATAAAATTATATAAAAATATTTTCATACGTGGACAACAAATCCTAAAACATTAAGTAGACAAAGCTCAGATTCAAGTAATTTCTTTTTCATCTCCGTGAATTCGTCCCCATCCAATTCCAAATGGTCGAACCTGTAAAAGTACATATAAAAATAAATCTTAACGTATTTAGAAAAATCATTGGAAAAATCCGCACGATTTTGAAAGTTTGGGTACTTTATGGATATGTCACCCCCCCCCCTCCTATTTTGAGTCTCAGAGTTTTCCTTAAACGTAGAAAATGGTCAGAGATTATTCTCTTCTCCATGTCAATCATTTTTTTCTTCTTCAAGTATTTTGCTTGTTTATTTTGCCTTTTCACATATTTTGTACTTACATTTCACTCATTTCGTTTCTACATTTATCGTATTTCACTTATTTTGCTTGAAGAAAGAAAAATGATTGACATGGAGAAGAAAATAATCTCTGACCATTTTATACGTTTAAGGAAAACTCTGAGACTCAAAATAGGAGGGGGGGTGACATATCCATAAAGTACCAAAGTTTGAATTGGCCATTGAAACGACAAAGTACAATAACTAAAAATTTAAATAAACAATAAAAATTGGGAATAAAAAGCCGCAACCGTAGGATACTCGCACAAATTTTGAAATTTACTAAACTTTAGGATTAGAATAAATTTTCTGATAAAAGGATTCAGCAAAAATCAGGAACGAGTCAATTTACTCAATTAAACCCGAAACCTGGACCATTAAATTTTAGAAAATCCGACCCGATTTTTCTCAATCCGGCCTATCCCTGATTAATACGTTTTACTTTGAGATGAATTTATAACATTAATTGTTTGAAAACTTAATTTAAATTTAATATTGTGGGAATTAAATTTAAAAGATAAAACCAGCCTTTTCAAAAGTAGAGCGAGTTTCCAACGTTTGCGGCTAACGGTCGACTTCTAACAATAAAAATTGTATGATTGACAGAAACAATGACTGAAATATATAAACTAATTACCTGTAAACACAAAAATACAAATCCTAGTAGAAATAAAATTACATTTTAAAAACCTGGCAGAAAATTTCAACAATTCTTATGAAGTTTCAAGCCCATAAAAAATATTTAAATTCATCTTAATTCCAAAAACATTACCTTCTAGTTGTGTTAAATAATATCCTGCAAAAATAAACAAAAGATTTCCTCACCTTTCACATATTCAATTTAATTAATAATGGAGAATAATTGAATGTAAAGTTGTGGTAAGTGCCTGTTAGTGCACCTAATAAAAATATGGATTATTATCAAGTTAAATAAAAATACCAAACCCATCCCCAAAAAAATAAAGATAAATTAAGTTAAGAAAAGATATGGAATTTTGAATAATATGAAAGTCAAAGAATGTGGATTTTTAAATAGATAAATATTTTTAGAAAATAAAATGTCTATTGATATTGTCTTAGAATACCAAAAAAAAAAAAACAAAAAAAATCTAAAACTAAAAGGGAATTCCTACTTATTTTAAAGCGACAAATCCAAACCCCAGGCCTTATTTTTGGGCACAACTATTTTTAGTTTCCACTTAATTTGGATAATTTTTATATCAATCGAAAGCTTTGGATGCGGACTACATAAAAAACACACAGAAGCTACATCTCATACAGAACTTCCGATTGATATGAGAATTATTTAACCAGACAATTAAAATTCGAATTCTATCATTTTGGACTAAATTTTTGGGAAAAATTTCGGTATACGACACAGACGCCGATTAGGTCGAGTGATATGTCATTCGAAAGAGCTCGTCGAGTTGAGACAAATGGTGAAAAAATTTTCGTGCGGACTCATACAGGGGCTGAGATATAGGCCCCCGAAAATCGAAAAACCATAGGGGGGACCAAGCACTTTTTTGGGGTAAAAAATTCGAATATGCAAATAGTAGCTCATTCGAAAGAGCTCCTCGAGCTGAGTCGAATGACACCAAAATCATCGTGATTGTACAAGTTTGGACAAAGTTACGATACAAAAAACAAAAAACCTAAACCTATGGGGCGTCGGCGAGGCGCTTGTGCAAAACCCCGCGCTTCGCGCGGGGTTTTGCGGCACGCGCCTCGCGGGGAGTCTACGGGCGCTGGGTCTGGGCTCGTAACATAAACCTATTCCTATCTCTCTTGCTCTGGACGTATTTGGGGCCTCCGTAGCAGCAAAAATCTCCTCAGATGCCATAGGTAAGGAGCTAAAATAAAAGATCATAACTTTGTCCAATCAAGTCGGATTTTGTTGATTTTGGTGTCATTCGACTCAGCTCGACGAGCTCTTTCTAATGAGGTATAATTTGCATTTTCGAATTTTTCAACCCAAAAAAGTGCTTGGTCCCCCCTTTGGTTTTTCGATTTTCGGGGGCTTATATCTCAGCCCCTCTATGAGTCCGCACGAAAATTTTTTCACCATTCGACTCAATTCGACGAGCTCTTTCGAATGACATATCATTCGACTTAATCGGCGTCTGTGTCGTATACCGAAATTTTACCAATTTTTGCCTTTTCAACAGCCAAGTCTTCACTTATAAATAATTAATTTTTAAGCAATATAAAGCTCAAAAATGTTAATATTTTAATAATTCCCTTACTCTTTAGGTCGAAGGTGTTGAAGATTAACACTTCTGATGTCTCCACCATTGCTGATCTTTTGTCTATGTTGGTACAATTGTTTGAGCCGATGATAAACATTTATAACGTCCCCAGGCATTCTTGGTTGTTCCTCAATTTTGCTAGCCAAAAAAAGACACGCACAGAGCATATGCTGTGAGGAAAAAGAAAATTAAAATTTTTTCAATAAAAACCTCAAAACTGTATTGAACAAATGATTTTTGATAATAAAAACGTTGAAATAAAATCTGAGCAGTTGCGGCTGCTGTTTGACTCAATTTTAATAAAATAGCACCAGACTGGATTAATTCACAACCCAAATAACGGATATCCTTAAAACAAAGTGAAAGTGAAGATTACTGGGGACTAGAGAAAGAATGAAGGGAGCTCATTCGATAATTATATCACACGATACTTAATGAAAACGAGAGCTCTTCCCATCCTTTTTCTAGAGACCAGTGTAAGAAGAAAAAACCAATAAAAACCTTTTCCAATTCCAAACTAATTCCATCAGCCAAAGACGGCGGATTTTCTAATTTTGATAAAGAATTCTCATCATAAGACATTAACCATTTATTAGCAGAAAAATCAATTCTAGAATAATTTGGCCGTTCTCGATAACTACTCGGGTTGATTTTTGAAATTAAATCCTTAAAAATATTTTGTTGTTTTTCTTGTTTTAATTCCCCCTCAACAATCTCGATATCCGCCTGTTTATCATTGGAATTGGGCCTAACTACAGTTTCCGTACCAGGCTCAGAATCGGACGATTTATATGTCATTCGAAAGAGCTCGTCGAGCTGAGTCGAATGACACCAAAATTTTTCAGCGGAAAAAATTCTGAGCCGAGTTACAGTCCCCCGAAAATCGAAAAACCATAGGGGGGACCAAGCTGATTTTTGGGGTCAAAAATTCGATTATACAAATGATACCTCATTCGAAAGAGCTAGACGAGCTGAGTTGAATGACACCAAAATCAGCTCGATTGGATGATTTTGAAGAAAGTTATGACCAACAGAATCTTCGCTGGAAAAACTGTTTTTGTGCTGCTACGGAGGGTAGGCCGGGCATGGTCTTCGCTACACGATGGCCGTGCTTCGCTGCGGTCGTGCTCGCTGCGCTCGCGGCGACCGTAGCGAAGCGGCGGCCGTCGTTCCGCTCGACATGCCCGGCTTCCTCCGCAGCGGCAAAAACTTTTTTCCGCGAAACCCTTGTGTAAGGGACTAAAACAAACGGTCATAACTTTGTCAAATGACGTCTGATTGCATTGATTTTGGTGTCATTCGACTCAGCTCGATGAGCTCTTTCGAATGAGGTATAATTTGCATATTCGAATTTTTCACCCCCAGAAAACAGCTTGGTCCCCCCTATGGTTTTTTGAACTTTAGGGGTCTGTAACTCGGCTCAGAATTTTTTCCGCTGAAAAATTTTGGTGTCATTCGACTCAGCTCGACGAGCTCTTTCGAATGACATATAAATCGTCCAATTCTGAGCCTGGTACGGAAACTGTAGTTTAGCCTTGGAATTGTCAACACATTTAGAATTATTATTTGAAGAATTAACAACATCTGATTGAATAACTGAAGTCATTTTCATAAAAACAAACTAAAAAAATTTTTAAAGAAACTTTAACAAAGGATAAACAAAAAAGACGGTCAGAAACAATAAAAATTCGGGGACAAGGATACTATGGCGCAGAACACTATGGCGTAGGGCATAAAAATAACTTCAAAGTCGAATTGTTTAAAAACCTTCTCTTGTTATTATGCTTTGCCTAGATCAAATAATTGGATGAGGGGCAAAACAAGGAATGGTCTTTCTGTATTCTGGTCGTTCCGTGTTTTGTCTTTTCCTTGTTTTGTCCGTTCCCGACACGAGATAATGTGTCGGCCCGACACGAAATAATTTAATTCGTTCTTTATTTTTTAAGCTGGATAAATTTTATAAACAACAACTTAGGTACTGGTAATCTTCCGCTTTACTGGTCCCTAGGAAAAAATGTGGTAGAAGTACTTTTTCGATATTTTTGAGGTCTGCCAGTAGGTAATAGAGTGTGCTGAGTCCGAATATGGGCTTAGAATTTGTTTATTTCGAACCCCGGACCCGAATTCGACTTGGTCGAATTCGGGGTAAGAATTCGAAACTATTAGGCTGTAGATATTCTGACTCATCTCTGCAAGCTGAGTCGAATGATATCAAAATTATTGTGTTTCGACAACTTTAGACTGAGTTATAATCAATTAAATACACGCTTGGTTAGACTTCCGTATAGCATAACTTAGTCTGCAGATGTCGAAACGTAATAATTTTGGTATCAATCGACTCAGCTCGAGGAGCTGAGTCCGATTAGACATAAAATTTGAAATTTCGAATTTTTATCCCATGTTTGACATGGTCGAAATCGGGTCCGGGGTTCGAAATAAACAAATTCTAAGCTCAGATTCGGACTCAGCAAGCTCGATTACCTACCGGCATGCCTCAAAAATGTCGAACTAGCAGTTATTCCTCATTTTTTTCTAGGGACCAGTAAAGCGGAAGATTACCTAGGTACTTTAATTATGGGCTCTAAATCTGCTGAAAAGTTAATTATTCTCAAAACTTCTATAAATATTTTTCAAATATTTAAGCGCAATAATTGGAACTTCATCAGAATATCCTTCAAATTCAACAGACTTCTTTTGTGCAAGCTGCAAACTTTCAGTTAAATGTCGATTTGGAAAATTGGAGCTGGAGAAGGCTGGCTGTAGAGAAGAGTGTTTTTATATGAAAAATCCTTTTGAGCCCCCAGATTTCCACAAAGCTCAACGGAATTATTCAATTGAAGATTTTCTCGTTATTGGTGCAAATTGTTATATTTGTAATCAACAAATTTGTGTAGACGAGGTATTTTGAGGGATTTTAACAAAAGAAAGTAATTTAAATTTTTTAGGAATGTTCTCTTTTCTATAAAAACACTTATTGTTTGAATTGTGTTTGGAGAGAAAAGCACAGCTTCCCTGCGGAACTACTTTCGGTACCTTTTCCTATTTTTTAAAATTTATCAGAAAAATTGGTGCCAGTGATCAGTTATGAATATTCTTTGGATTCTCTCTTTACAACAGAAAATATCCATTCTAATCTTTATCAATCTAATTAAACTTTTTAGAACGTTTCGAAGCAGCGAAGCAAGTCAAAAGAATCTTGAAATTCAACTGCTTTTGTTTTACTAATTTTTAATTTTTTTCAAAAATTTTTCCAATTTTTACGTGAATTAAATTTTTATTTTTTTCTTAATATGTTAAATTATATTTCCTGCCTAATGTTTTTTACTAAATTACATCGAAAAATTAGGCCACAAAATCGGAAGTGGACATTTACTTTTTTTTAATAGTCACCTAAAAAATACTCGTTTCTAGTCAACTTGTCTTCTGCCATGATAATATAAAATTTTGTTGAGGGACAGTTGCACAATATTCAATTTTTATTAAATGTAGTGAGGAGAGGGAATTGTAGGTAATTTCATTGCAGGTAATTCAGCCATTCCCTTTGGCAATGTTTACTTCGATTTTACTGTTCTCGTTAAGTTACATTCTTCATATTAGGCAAGTTTTAGTAGAATAAAATTGGGCACAACTGAATTTTTTAATTTAAAAATTAGTTTGGCACAAAGCTACTATGGAAGCAACTTTTTGGGAGCTTTACGAGGTTGGTTTTGAAGGATTTAGAAAATTTAAAAAATCTTTTGTATATGCAGGATATGGGCCTAGCACATGTCGTTTTATTTCATGTCCGTTGGGGCAATATTGCATTGCAGGTAAATTCCGGATAAGTCGAGATATAGCGTGATATTCGGTTTGGATATCGGTTCCGGATGATATCTATCTTACATATGCCGTGAACCTTAATTGCAGGTATTTGTCAGCCTATGGATTACGGACTTGGTGGAGGTTATGGAGGGAGACTTAACAGTGGGGCTTATGGCCTCTATGCTGCCGCCAGTAAATGTAGATTTGTAAAAATAATACTCTTTTAATAATCTGTTTTAGTATGTGCTGATGCTGTAGACTGTTATAGCGGTCAAATTTGCCAAGCCGGGAGGTGTATATTTCAGACTGCTGGTATTGGATACCCGGAAGTTGGATATGGAAGTCCATACGGGCGTGGAAGTCTTTATGGTTATGGATTGGGAGGGTTCTATTCTCCCTATTTTGGAATGAATTCATTCTCATGTTTGTTTTTCCAAAATTAATTCAGTTAAATTTGCCTATTTTTAGTTTCAGCATGTGGAGGTATCGGTTGTCCTTTTGGCTTAAATTGTATACCTGGGCGATGTTTGGGTACAATTCCACCATTTTTAGGCAGAAAGAAGTGAATGCTCGCAATAAAAAATTATTTTTTGAAATTTTTCTATTATTTTATGTTCACTACATTTTTAATAAAATTTAAAAATTTACAGCTTAAAATGATGATAAAGCATTTATATGTATGTACCTTCTTTACCTGTTCATCTTTTTCTCACTTTTATTTTTCGAAAAAGTCAAGCCTCAAAAAATCGGTGCTCACGATTTTACCCCAAAACAAAGACTGAATAAACCCCCCAAGAAAGTCTGAACGAGAACACATTTTAATTTTTAGTGTTGATATTTTGGGGTTGACTTTTAAAGAGTGACCGCCACAAAAATAATTGCAAAAAGCGTTCATTTCTCTTTAATTTCATTTAGATAACAAAAAATTATGTCTTCACTTATTGACGATATTGAAGAAAAATTTGTTTCTAGAGGATCAGTTACTCATGTTATTTTTGACTTTGATGGTATTCTTGTTGACACTGAACGACTCTACTCTAAAGCAAATGAACAAGTATTAAAGAGCCAACATGGAAAGACTTTTACAAATATTGAGTAAATTAAATTAATTTTTGGAAAAACTTTTTCTAATTAAAGGAAGGCATTAATGATGGGGAAAGCTAAACCTCTTGCTGTTGAGGCTTTGCTAAAATCTTTTGAATTGGATGACCCTAAAGGAATTGAAAAATATATGGAAGCATATGATGCTAAACTTGCAGAATTGCTTATAGCTGAGACTGAGGTACTTAGATTTCTTTCAAAAAAGTAGTTAAAAGGTTGGGAAGGAAGGAAGGTCCTTTGGGGGTTTCAATAAATATTTAATCAAATCTTCACTTATTTTCAAAGGTATTGCCTGGGGCTATTCCCCTTGTTGACCATTTACACAAAAGCGGCATTCCATTGGCTATATGTACAGGTTCTGACGCTCTCGAATTTAAACAGAAAACTTCGAACACTGAAATTTCGAATTGGTTGGAGAAAATTCCTCTTCGACTTCTTTGTGGCAGTGACCCAGGTTTCTAAAATAAAAAAATTCTTCGAAATATTTTTTTAAAGAAATAACTTATTGCAAGCCACATCCAGAACCTTATCTAAAATTAATGAAACGTTTTGATGATGGAGGCCCTGCAAGCCCAGAGAATGTTTTGGTTTTTGAAGATTCTGTTAATGGTGTTCGTAGTGCTTTGGATGCTGGATGTACAGTTTAGTTTTCTTTTAAATTAAATTGTAGTTTGGGCAATCCCGGAGAATTGGGGTTTCTTCGGAAAAAAAGTTTAAAAATAAGAAAAAGGGTTTTTCTAGGGTAAAAAAATATGCTGATTACGAATCTGAGCTCGGATTTTGAAAAAGTCGAATCCCGGACCCGAATTCGGAATTTGACCCCGGACATTGTCGGACATTGTACAAAATGGTCAGTCTTTCATATGCAGGTAGAACTCATCGAGATGCATCGAATGACACCAAAATCGATGAAATCCGACGTGGGTGGACCGAGATACAGACCCCGGAATATTGAAAAACAATAGGGGCGATTTTTTAGAGTAAAAAAAAGTTTGTACAAATGATAGCTCATTCGAAAGAGCTCATCGAGTTGAGTCGCATGACACCAAAATTAGTGATTGATCAAGTTTTGACAAAGTTATGACATGAGTCGCCGACTCCTACAGTACTCCCATAGGTTTATTTTATGTCATAACTTTGTCCTATCATGTCAGATTTCGTTGACTTTGGTGTCATTCAATGCAGCTCGACGAGCTCTTTCGAACGAGCTATCATTTGCATATTCGAAATCCGGGTTCAGGGTTCGAAATTTGGTTCGGGTCCGGGATTCGACTTTTTCAAAATCCGAGCTCAGATTCGTAATCAGCATATTTTTTTACCCTAGAAAAACCCTTTTTCTTATTTTTAAACTTTTTTTTCGAAGAAACCCCAATTCTCCGGGATTGCCGTAGTTTGTTCTTATGTTCCTGAAATCCGCAAATTTTATTCGCAATTCCGGAAAAAATGAAAAAAAATTATTTAGTTTATGTGAGTCACCAAAAGTTTAGATTGAGGAAAAGCTTTCTAAAATTATCAAAAAATTTTCTAATAAAATTTACGGATTCTCAAGAGCAACAATATTTCCAAAATTTAATTTAAAAATTATCAAGGTAATTATGGTTCCGCAACCCGAATTTCTGCCTCCTAATTGGGAAGAGGATGAACTTCGTGCTCATCCAAATTTGGTGGAAGTCTTGGAATCATTGGCTGAATTTCGACCTCAAAATTATGGTTTGCCTAGTTTTTGTTAGATGTTGAAATGATTTTTTGGACATTTTTAAAATTTGGACATTTTATTGAATCAGGATTCTATAGTTTTCACTTATTTTTAATTTTTATATTTATTGACTTTGACAGATGTGTTTGACATTCTCAAATGTTTATTGTTAAAATTTTACTTTATGTAGAAATTATAATGAGAACATTAAAAGATTTTTTTAAAAATATATAAAGGAAATGTTAAAAGGGGTTGAAAATAAAATTCTAGGAAAATTCAATATTATCACAACAAAATATGAGGTCTAACAATAAAAGTTCATTAAGGAATGTAAAAGCTCTAAAATAAAAGAATTTTGAATAGAATCTCTAAAAATTTTATAGGATTTTTATTAATGAAAATTGATTATTTTTAATAGAATGACCTTGACTTTCTGAACAGTTTCTCAACCGAAAATCCAGCCCCGCCCAAAAAATGCTTTGATCTTGACTATGAATAAAGGAAAAATCACGGTCCAGATTTGAATGTAAACTGATCACTGCAAAATATACATAAAGGAATTCTAAAAACTAATGGCTTATCAAAATATTGTACAGAAAATAGAAATTTGTTAAAATAAAAATAGGAAAAAATTTTAGAAATATATTCTATAACCGTTACATATGCCGAACCGAATGAAAAAACCAATTCAAATGTATTGACCAATCTCCTTTAACTACATCCTCAAATATTTGTTCAAAAGCAGCCCTAGCCTCTTCACGTTTTTCTTTATCATACATTAATGTTTGTTTAAGAAAATCAACATTTACAGGGCTAAGTTCTGGCAATCCCATACAACACCTTTTTTAAGTATTAAATAGTTTTCAAAAATAAAAAAACAAACATCATTCGAAACAATGCAATAAAGAAACGAGCTTGGCTGTATAATGATAGAAAACCTTTTGTACATTCATCACGAAAACTAAAAAATTTTAAGGGGAAAATTAAAGCCAAAAAACATTTTAGGTGAGGACTAGAGATCGAGATTTCTGAAAAGCCTGGACCTGTTCCTGAATTCTGGAGTTTCATTTCTAGACCTGGACTGGATCCTGGGCCTGTAGTCCAGGAAAACCCCAGGAAGGTAAAAAATGCCTGGATCTGGATACAGGAAAAACCCAGGCTTTGGTCCAGGTCCAGCTCGATCTCTAGTGAGGACTAAACGGTGTCCATAAATATTAAGAAAAAATTTCTAACCTATTGTATTCATATGTTTGTCTAAAGTTTGTTTTTCCTCGAGAAATTACATAAAGAAAATGATCAGTCAAAACAAAATCTGTTCTCTCACGATTAATTCCCAATTTTCTTTTTGTATGTCCCAAAATATGTCCAAAATCAATGTGAAATATCTTTAAAAATTTAAATTTAGGATTAATATTGTAAAATAAAATTTCAAATAAATTAACCCTTCCATCGTTTGCAAGCATTATATTGTCTTGATGTCTATCTTTAATACCAAGAATGTAAGTAGCTACACAATAACCAGCAAGAGACATAGTAAAGCGATCTACGCATTCCAAATACCTTTAGAAAAATTATAAGATTATTTTTTTCTAATATTTTTAAGCAAGGACATATTTAAGAAAGATTTTCAGAGAAGAGGGAAGATAAGTAAATTTGTTTTTTTTTGAGAAAATGAAATCCGAAGACTAACAATAAGAGGCCAAAATTCCTTAAATGAGACTTTTTTCACTCTAAAGAAGAAAATTGATCTCCTCAAGAGAGAAAAAAAACTATGTTAGGCAAAAAAATCTCATTTTTTTGTCATTCCCCTCCCAAAAATTTCTTTATTTCTTATTTTAGGAGGCCTTGAAAATCCCTTGTCAATTACTAAAATTATTAAAATACTTTTTACTGTCCCTAGAACAACACTTCTTATAAATATATTTATTTAAAAGAGCAATATCCATATTTAGAGATGCTGTTTTTCTTGTTTCACATTGAATTTGAAAAAGAGTTTGACAATCTGGGACAACATGTATTAGTCCAATCTATAAAGAAAATAACTAAATTTAATCAAAAAATAAAACATTTTTTCCCATTGGAAGGACTTCATATAATGTCATGCAATAATCTTGTTGTAATTGACTTTTCCATTTTGCATCCATAATGCGCATTACATGCAAAGAACTTTAAAAGAAAAAAATTTAAATTTTGAGATTTTTAGAAAAAAATGTTTACAGCATATCTTGTCTCATATCATCTCCACATTTAAAAATCAATTGATGAGTGGGGGAAGTTAATCTTGCCAAAATTTCAGGATTTCTCCAGGTAAGGAAAAGAGGTTGTTTTGCACTACCAAGAACTCGACATTCCTCAATTCTAAAATTTAAATTAAAAACGTAAATTTTGAAAAAAATTTCAATTTGCAAACATTAACTCTCCCAATCGATAAGTAGCATTTACTGGAGACACCATATGCTGCATTTGCTCTCTACGTGCCATCAATTCTATTTGGAGCTTCTTAAATAAAAATCAATTATTTAAACAAAACAACTTAAGAATACTTTATTTGCAGCTTCTCGATTACTATTTGCACATATTCCAGTACTTAAAGTAGTTAAAGTGCTGATAAGCTCAACTTGTTTACACATTGAATCTAGATGGGCACTATTCCCACGGCAATAAGCTTCAAACATTAGAGCAAAACGTAAAAATAACGGGGAAAGTTGTGGGCCAGTATCTAAAATTATTTTAAAAGAAAAATTTTTTAAAAAGTCTAAAATTAACTTCTTTCCATTGAGTTTTTTAATCCAATCGTTGCTGGTTGATTAACATTTCCAAAAGCAAGTAAATGGGCTAATTCGGCTCGTAACAACCAAAAAAGTGTGTGTCCAACACGATAATCCATAAGTGCTCTACGCAGCAACATTCTAACCAAAGGAGAGAAAGCGTGATGTTCAAAACGAATTGCCTTAAAATTAAAAGTGAGGGAACTAAGAAAAGCAATAAATTCAAAAAAATACTTGAACCAAAATCAACAAATAAAGTTGCAATTGATCATCATCCAAAGCATCATCTAAATGTTTCACTGCTAAAGTTCGCAATCGTCTATCAACATATCTTCCATCCAGTAATTCAATTGCTGTATCTACATAAAGTGGAGGCCATTTAGCTAGCAATCTAAATTTTAAAAAATTCTTTAAACATAATAAACTATAAACCTATAAAATTCGCTAGTATTTTCACGAGTTCGCCAAATAATTGCGCAATCAGCTAGTACAGGAAGCATTTGCGGAAAATGATGACAAATAAGACGGCGCCGATGCCAAAGAAAGCGTTGGTCTGTTGAGGTAAGTAAAGTTGAATCTAATGAACGGCCTAGTCGAAGAAGATGTTCTAGTTCATCGCCTTGCTATAAAAGGTAAGAATGAAGAAAAATATTTAAGAAAGAATTTTTTTTGGAAAATCACCCCACCTCAAAAAAACCAAAAAAAAATTTAAAAATTAAATACCGTCATTAACGGCTTTTGTGCCAATGTCATTTTTCTTAATTTATTAATTCCATATTCATCACCATATTCCACATCTTCATCTGTTTCATCATTATCGTCACTATCGTCCAAATCATCTTCAGAACTATATTTATCAATCGATCCATTGTTATTTAATTCATCAGACTTTCTCTTTCTCCTGTGTTGTTTTAACCAACGAATATACCGTTGAATAACCAAATCTGGAGGATACTCAATAATTGTAGAACCGCCAAAATACTGAAAATAAAAATTTGTTAAGTGAAAAAAGTATCAATTTTATCTATCCCTTATGCTCTAGAAATTCAAAAAAAAAACCTCCGGCATTTCAATCTCCAAACGTGGAGTCCTCGATGTTACTGTTGAAAGAGCATCACCATATTCATTATCTAGGTGGACAAATTGGGGGGAAGAAATGGAAGAACGAGTCTTCAAAAATTTTTTAATAATTAAAATTAATTTTAAAAAACCTTTTCAAATGGACGCAAAAATAATGTTTGCTTTCCTTGAATAAGGCGACTTCGCCAATCAAAAATATGTAAATTAGCATAACCCAAAGAATTTAATTCACAATTCATTGAAGTTGAAGTCGTGTTTAATGTAGGAGTTCCTGACCTTTGTTGTTGTTTTGTATTAATCTTTGAAATATCTGATGAGGAGCTATTTGGATTGTGAATTGATATTAAGGAAAAACAGAGTTGAGCTGATTCTGGTAAGTCTTTCAGATAAATGTCAAAGTCGATAAATGTCTAAAAATTATATAAAAATATTTTAAATGATTTAAGGCTAATGGAGGTCTCAAAAAATTCGTGAAATGTCCGAAAAAATAAAGAACTTGCAAGGATAAATTAAATAAACAAAACCCATTTCGAGTGAAAATGTTAATTTTTAAAATCGAGAATTTATTACCTCCTGCCCCCATCGTGGATTTGAGGATGTCACTGTAATTGAATCTTTTATATCAAGGACATGTCTACCAACAGCCACAGCAACACGTACAAATAAATGATCACGACTGTCTTGGACAGTGATATTTGAAGCAGAATGGATTTGAATTCTGAAATTTTTTAGAAAATTTCAAAAATCCATAAAAACCTCAAATTTTCATCCAAATCCCAAAAAAGTTTTTTCTGTTTTTGTTTAGCGTCTCCACTAGATGTTTGAGAAGTACCGTCAGAAACTGTCGAAGTGCCGTTTACTAAAGCCTCATTTGTTAAATATTGATTATGCACTTCACGACGGACATAGGAAGGCTAAAAACAAATTTTACAGAGGAAAAAAATATTTTATAAAAACCTCGAAGATTTTGGGCGGTGGTGGGTAGTCCATAAACACAAGCCTTTTCTCTCTGATTATTAGTCTTGGAATTCGATAGTTTTCAAAACATGAGCGAATATACTAAAAAATATAAAAAAATATTAGTTTTGCAAAAAACAAGGGCGAGCTAATTTACAAAGAAAATGAACGTGTATTTAAGGAAAAAACGATTTTTGAAAATTTAATTTTAAAAATTAGTTTCTAACGGAGGTGGGGGTTGAAAAAGATTTTAAAATCGAAAAAGGAGAAACATTAGACAAAACCAGAACACAAAAAAACAAACCTCTGGTTTCTAAAAAGGTTTGCTTGTTCGATTATAAGATCTTCTACATAGTCTAAAGGATTAATTATGAAAAAAAATTTTTAAAAGAATGAAAGGAACACAAAAAACTTTCGTGTAAAATTATCCAAAAAATCCTCACGACAAATTGTGTTAAAGGAACATCCGGTCTAGTAACATAAACTTGCTGTCCAGCTATTTGCAATATAAATTCAGTATGTGGTTGTCTAATATCCAAAGAATATTGTGTTCTAAATTCATTTAATGCTGCTCTCAAAACATCCTCCGGTGTTGCCCCCAAAATATTACGAATCCGAACAGAATATTCAAAATCTACTTCTTTTTGGGTTTCTGAAGAATTTTTGGTTGAAGGTATTCCATACCAAACCTTTTTAAAAAATATTTTATAAATTGAATAAATTGAAAAAAAAACCTCAACATAAGCATCTGATGACTGCATTTTTTGTCTTAATTTCTCCAATGCTCTCCTCTCAATTTCGAGTGGGTGATCGGATGGATCAATTGTTCCTACAAAAATGAATTTTAGTAAAAATAAATAAAGGATGATAATTTCCATCTTTTGGAGATATAATTTTAAGGACTAAAAATTTGCAGAAATCCGCAAAATTTTTGCGGATAATATAAAATTTCTATTACATGAAAACTACAATTTCAATTCAAAAAAATGTTTAGTCTCCTATTTAAAAATACAAAAATAAATTTGAAAAATATCGAAATCATTTTGAAAACCCCATACTAAAAAGTGTCCACAAAAATATTTTAAGAAAACTCAAAAAAATTTAAAAACCAAATTGTGAAGAATTAGCTCCAGGATGTAATTGTTGTTGCAAAAGTGGCCCCTCAGGGAATGCATAATGTAAAAATTGGTAGGTCCCTCGTTCCTGTTCAGCCTCCAAACAAGTTTCGAATAATTTTAATCGAAAGTTTTGAAGTTCTTTGTCAAGTTTCCTTTCAAGTTCCATTAAAGTAATGCCCATTATATAGCCAATTTGTTGATTTAATTCTTTTTCCATTTTGTTCCCCTCTGGTTCAGCCAATACCAAAAGAGGAAGGAAAAGATTTTGAAGACTTGATACTGGCTTTTGTTCATCATATAACTAAAAAATTGTGGTAGTTGATCGATAGGAAAAGCGAAATAGACCGCATTTTCAATTAAAAATCCGCAAACCCATTTTTTATTAAACGAAATCTTTTAAATTTTTTGGGTTAAAACTGTTGACACAGGGGCTATGGAGCGATAAAAATTATTCTAATATAATACCTGAATATGTGCACCATCTAGACCAATAGTCATAAAAATGTAGTTAGAAATATCTGAGAGAGAAGCGCCCAAAGGATACCTGATAAAATTTTAGATATTAGTACGGAGGGACCAACCTCAAGGCTTGAAAAAGAAAATACCCCCTCACGAAAAATGAACAAAAAAGGACGGGGGATGAGAAAAAAGAGAATTTTCAGGATTGCCCCTCCCTTCCCCAAACCCTCAAAAAATCCTTACTTTCTAGCCTGAAAGAACACATCTTGTTTTAACAAAGCAATAGTTCTATGTGTTTGGCATTGTATAGGTAGTAACAAACCATTAGGTAAATAAACATCTAAAAACATATATTGTTGTTCTGATAAATTAGTTGTTGTTGGAGGATCATTTGAAACATTTTTATTAACCAATAATTCCCCTTCTTCATCCGTTTCCCAAATTCTGTGTAATTGACGATGTTGAGAATCACCGGGACCTGTGCCATAAGATCCATAATAATTATATTGATAGCTATATTGACTAGTTAATGGAGCAATAGAAGTACTTGGCGTTGATGGCATATAGGAGAATAAGAAAATTAAAATAAGCAAAATTCAAAAATTAACACCCGAGAGTGACGAAATGCAACATTTTTAAGGGATGGGCATTTTTGTATTGAGACGAAATGTCCTTTTTTGCACAAACTGGCGAAACGACTACATATGAGAAAGTTTTTTCGGTTGGAATTTTTATTGTTAGTTTCGGGTCATTCCTTTAGTTCAGGTCAATTTTTTAACTTTTTCAGCGTTTCTTTAAGAATTTTTGGCTTAAATATCGTGCCATATAACATTCAAAATCTTCACTAAATCATCATAAAAATTTTTATTCTCCCAAAATTAGTGTACCATTTGAAAAAAAAAAACAAATTTTAAAATTCATTTAAATGAGCAACAAAAAAATTTTTTTCATAAAATCAATATTTTCTATATAAGAAAAAACAAAAAAATAATCAAAAGAAAAAAAAATTGAAAGTCAAAGAATAATTTTTTTTAATTTAATTTTTTAAAGTCGCCAATTTCTATCACTTTCTTTAAATTTTTGTTTTAATGACTGAAATGATGATGAGAAAGAATCAAAATCAGGAAATAGATAACGTTCACGTTCTGGTAACCCGTGTACAAGCCAATCTGGTTCTCCAATATCCATATATGGCAATATCAAAATTTTACGTTTTTCCTCTTCTTTTGTCAAATTTTGTCCGTTATTTACTGGAAGTGCATAAGAATTACAAGGATTCTCTAATATTGTTGAAGGAATTTGTGATGATGAATCAACATTCCCAACATTTGGCAATGGATATTTTTCGAACCTTAAAAATTTTGATATTTTAATGATTTTGAATGATAAGGGATGATAGAATCCCGATAACAAATAGGGAAATTTAACGCTAGATAACACCCCGGCTTGGAAAGTCCAACAAAGGTTGCTTGTATCAGAACTCCGACAAAAACACCGTTCACGCATTAAAGTTAAAAACACCCTCAACGTTTACAGAATAGATTCGACATATGCCGATGCTATGTTATCTTTAAATATTTAGAACCCAATGGCTATTGGGTCTTGGTTAGTAATATACTCCTATCCCTAAAGAATTCTTATTAAAAAATTTTGTAGTTTAAGCGAGACTTGGTAATGGGCATGGATTTTGATATCCGTATCAGAATATTGAAATTATCTGTATCCATTTTGAAATTATCTGTATCCATTACCAAGCCTGTTTTAAGCAAAATCGAAATTAAGTGTGGACGGTGTTTTGTTGTATTTGTCCCGATGCGGGTTGAGGTCAATCAAGGATATACCCAAAAATTAAATAAAAAAAAGGAAACATTAAAACATTTTATCATAAGAAAAATTAAGAATAATGAAGGATAATTCTTAGAAAAAAAATTAAAAAAAGAAACAAACCAATTAAATTTTTGAGTATTGCCAACTTCCTTTGAAGACTTTAAAGTTTTAGTAATTGTTGACCTTTCATTCATTCCATCATTCAAATTATTTAAATAAATACCCGTATCTGTCATTTTAGGTCGACCACGTTTCTTCTTTCCTTCTTTTTTATTATTTACAGCATTTTCTAAAAAAAATATTTTTAAAAAATTTCCAAAAAATTTTTCTAATTTTTGAAAAATTTTAAAAAAATTTTTAGAATTTTTTTGAAATTTGCAACGTTGCAAATTTCAAAAAAAAATTTTTTCTCCTCCAAACACCTGTTTTATGTCTGCCATTTAACAACTCAATGTCTTGAGAGTGGTTTTGAATTTGATCAGACATTTTACCACGCCGCTTTTTAGCTGTGGATTCACCAACAATTTCAACATCGTTTTCTGGCAAAGAAGACAATGAATTGGCATTTCTCTAAAATTGTTGGAATTTTAATAAAATTTCAAGAAAATTATTCAAAAGAAAATCTGAGCTTTCAACTCTCCTTATTTTTCGAGAAATTTTATTTGGAACAGCTTTGTTCAGGTAATCAAAACTTTTAAAAATAATGGGCCCGGACCCTAAGATTCTTTTATCAGACCCTAATCTAATTCTAGGAAAAATTTAAGAGTTCAGGTATGGACGAAAGAAAAACCAGACTGCCGGGTTACTTAACCAAGTACTATAAAACCATAAATAATCCTATCATATTTTAAAAAAACCTGTAAATGTAATTGTTGTTTATTTGTCTCTTTAATATTATTGTTACTATTAGAAGCCAAAGTGGAAGTATCAAAAATAGTACCATAATGTTGTAATTGTTCGCTAATCTGGGCAACCAATTCTGCTGTAGATTGCACACTTTTTCGAGCTGCTTGTACACTCTTAAGAAATAAATTATAAAACACAATGGAAAAATCTGGGGTAGAAAAGCATGACAAAATGGGAAAGAAAAAATGGGTGCAAATCCCAAGTCCTCTCAACAAGAATTGAAAGGACTCGGGATTGAGAGGAGTCGGGGAACTCTTGCCTTCTGACATGAACAGTCCAAAATAACGAGGAAAGGAATTGGCAAAAAAGGGGAAGAAAAGAATCTTTCACCCATTTATAAAATCCCAAAACTATCCATATTTAAAAATAAAAGAAAAAACAAACAGAAGGTGAACAATTATTCGAAGTCCCTGCCGTTGATTTAAGTGCAGAAGTTGTTGGAAAAGCAGAGGTGGATGAGGGTTTTATATGTAAAGGTGGAGTTAAAGTTGTAGTCGCCAGTCTCTGTATTCCACTTGCTGAACGTTTTAATTTGAGCGTTAAAGGTTGCAAAGGTTGAACCCGATCTTCATCAGTTCTCATGAGTCAATATTTTAATTATTAACTCTTAAAAAAGAAAAAAAATTAGAACTCTTTTTTGCCCCTCCCATTATCAAAAAAAATTTTTTTTTATTAAAATAAAATTCCATCCCAAGCTTTATTCAAAAAGATTTCACAAAGATATACACAATTAATCGAGGAAGAGAAAAGACAATTAGACTCAATTGTCTATACTCAAATAAATAGTATAAAAGGGCAAAATGTCAAAAGGGAAAAAATATTCTTTGCTTTGTCTGGCCTTATTACGAAATCATTTTTTCTTTTTGAATTTTCTACGTTGCTTTAAAAGCATTTTTTATAATTCTTTTATGGGTTTGCCAAGAAAAATGTAGTAAGTTTTCAGTTTTATTTTAACTTATCGCGATAATGATTCGAATTCATTTAGGAATGCACAGCAGGAATGGCTCAGGCTACACGAGACCTGATCCAAATTAAAAAACGCGACATAAAACTGCTGATTTTTTGGGTCAGTTGAGCGTGGCCGGTTAAGCGTCAGCCTAATTTGATCGGCTATAATTTTTTGCTGCTTGATCAATACAAATGAATCATATATCGTTCGAAAGCCCTCGATAACACTATCTTTTTTCCATTTTGATGGATCAAGTCTGATCGCTCTTTAAAAAGCTACAAGTCGTTAAGTATGAAAAACAACGATTTCTTGCACTTATCGACTTGTAACTTTCTAACTAGTGATCAGACTTGATCCATCAAGTTAGGAATGGAAAAAGATTGGGCTTATTGAGGGCTTTCAAATGATATAAGATTTATTCGGATTTGATCAAGCTTAAAAAATTAAAGTAGATCAAAATCGGCTCAATCGCCAAAACCTTTTCTGCATTAAAGTTTTGCGTATCAGTAAGCAGGGACGTAAGCGAGCTGGGGTAAAACTTGACTTATCCAACTCAATCATTAAAAATTGTACTTTGTTTAAATGATAATCATTAGATTTAGATCGACAGTTTGAGCGGGGGACTGGTAAATATTTCGAAATGACAAGGAAATTTACATCGACAGAAGAGCCTATGAAATTCTAACACGATACTCAATTAATCACCATACTATTTTTTGATTAATATCCATTTTAAAATTTAATTTCAACATTTATTTTTAGCTAATAATTTTATTTTAATTGTGTTAGATACATAATTTATTTTTCTTGGCAAAACACAAATGATTTTTTAAATTTAAATTTTTAACAGAAGATTTTGAAATATAATTTAACATTTAAAATTAAAAAAATATTTTTCTCAAAATTATTTTCAACGTTAATTCAATTTTCTTTTATTTTACAGAAAAACAAAGATTGAAAAAGACACAAAATAAAAATCTAAATAATTTTTGACTACATTTCTCTATATTGTTACTATGAAATTAAATATTGATACAATGGTTCCATTGGAAGTGATACCGATTTTTTGTAAAAGATTATGAAAGTTTGCAGCCTTAAGTGGTCAATCAACAGCAGAACCTCGAGACTTAACTGTTACCTTTTTAAGAACAGTTGAGTCTCATTGACTCCCCGTGATAAGACTCAAATTTCGAATTGGTCACTCACTTGTCACGAAAAGTCTCTCCTCGTTCCCTCTTGCCTAGGACCGTTAAAGACTGCACCTGCTTAGGATTTTATAACTTCATTTGTTCCACTTCTTATTTCTTCTCTCTCCCTTTTTCAAACTACTACTATTCTTTATCCTTTAGTTTTTTTCTTTCATCCTGTACCACCCCCACCCCAAAAAGGACACTCGAGTCTCAAAGCGGGCGAGCCTCTAACAACCCCCCTTCCAGAAATGCAATTTTGGGGACTTTTACAAAAATACCTGCACCACTTTCCAATAGAAACCCAGGGTGCTATATCCAATGGTACCAATAAATCACCTCACAATGCCCACTCACAAGTAAAAATAGACAAGCCTGAAAACAAAATGTGTGGTTGGCGAAGCGCTTAGACGACTGTTTGGTAAGGCTTGCTGTGCGCCTTTCACAGTCGCCAAAGCGCTCCCATTTCCAAATGAAAGAAAGCAAGTCTGAAAGTTGGGGCCTCCATCGCTTCGTTTATATAGGGCTTTGTGGGGCGGAGCTTTTTTTATTATTTTGTGTAGTGTTGTTCTTCCCACTCCGCATTTTCAAAAGAATTTTAGTGCTGTGGTGTGCTTGTTAGAGAAGAGAGAGAAAGTCTGTGTCAGTGAATAAAAAAGTGGAATGTGTATGGATTATAAAGAGAGAGAGGTGGGAGAGAGAAAAGAATCAATAAAAGAGTAACAAGTCTGCTCTCTTTCTTCTTTCCCTTTTTTTCACCTAACAATGACTACGTTGACTAAAATTCTGGATCAACCAAAAAAATCCTATATATTTTTTTTTGAAAATTCCTAACAAAATTCCTTAAAAGAATGCGCCCCGATATTTTGTTCTTTAATTGTTCAGTTAAAAGTAAAAAATACCTTCAAAACACCAGGAAACGTTACGGAACAGCTAATCAGGTGAAAAATTTCGAAATCTTAGGTTAAGTCGGCTTTCTTATCTCTTTATAACAGACTCATTTCCTCCAAATTCTTCTACTTACTAACTGACAACAATTGAATTAACCTTTTGGCTGTTTAATTAAATCAAAATTTTTTCGGTTCCCTGGGTCGTTTATAGAATTTAAAGTTATTCTGTAATTTTCTCGCTCCTCTCTAACAAAATTTAAAACACTAATAAGCTGAAAAACCTCAGACTCTAATGTCCAACAACCTTGTCTTTCCTCTGATTTCCTTAAATCTAAATTAAAAGAAAAACACAACAAAAATCGTCTAAAGTTAAAAAATGACAAAAAGAAATTTTCTAACCCGACAGCAAGTCCAAAAGAGTGGATTCATTAAAATTTTTAAAAATAAATTTATAATTAAAACAAAACTCTAACGATCAAAATTGCAAGATTAAATAAAAATTTTATGGCTTGCTCAGCATCTTTTTAATTTTGAGTCCACTTGGCCAATTACGGGTGTTTCCTGTTAATTTAAGGATATTTTATTTTAAAATTCAGACCACTATAAATTTCTCTTTTCTTAATCCATATAATGTCTTAACTTTTGAATGAAATTAAAGTCCCCTTCTCTCCTTTTTTAAGACTGTATTCTTTTAATCTTTTTGGAAATAGAGTCTTTGACCTTTTTAAATTTAATCTTCATGGGAAAAATTATTAAAAATATGGAATTGAGCAATTTATAAATTAGGAATGATGAGATAAGAATAAAAGCTCTTCCGGCAGTAATCTCCAATAAAGTTGAATTCTTAAATTCAACTTTAAGAAAAAGTAATGGAAAACGGGGTTTAGACTCAAATTGACAGAACAATGAATGGGAAAGAGAAGGGTAGAAAAAAGGGGAACCCCTTATTAAAAATTTTGGAAATAAAAAAAATTAACAAACCAACAACAACATATGAAAACGGTTTGTTCAAATAATAGCGTTCACCAATTGATCTAATTGTATCGGGTGTGACTGCCTTTAAAAATTGAAAAAAACTTAAAAGAAAAATAAATATTTAAAAATACATTTATTTCTTCGGCCAATTCTTCAACATTCAATCTTTTACCATAAATTAAAATTTGCCTAAAATTTAAGAATGAAAAATAAAAGAAAAATTTTAAAAATTAATTTAAATTTTTTGATAAAAAGAGATTCCCCTCATCAGGCCCCTAACTAAAATGTCCGCCTGCGGTGCTAAAAATCAAAATTCTTGGTGTCTATCGCGCCAAAAAATTCGGCGCGGAAAATTTTCCCATTTGACCCCCACCCCTCACGGAAAAAATCCTGGTTACGAGCCAGCCCCTCATTATAATAAACAATTTTTTAGTCCCACATGTGGGTATCATTTTGGTTCTATTGTAAATAAAATCGAGGTTTGGAACAAAATATGTACATAAGGCATATTTGGGGAAGTGCTCATTCTCTATAAGACAAATTCCCTTCCTAATTCAATTTCTTATCAAGTTTAAATTTTTTTTCCGATTTTTTAGAAAATTTAAAAACCTTCCAATATCCTCACAAACGGCTGTTGATCCATCCAAAATTAACGCACAATTTGTTAACAAAGAAGATTTTGCCCTCTCTAAACTATCAACATTTATATCACCGGACAATGACCTCCATTCATTACAAACACATTTAACAAGATTTTCTAGTGCACGGGGCTCGGCACAAAAATAAATGCCAGTTAGACCAACGTCTTTATAAGAAGTCTAAAAAATTAATTTTAATTTTAGAAAAATTTAAAAAACCGTGTAGGCCATAAATGATTCAACACCAGAATCATGACCAAGTGAACTTGCTAGAGTTGAACTTCCAAGTATACCAATACTTTGAGTTCTGTCATATTGTCCAATCATCTAAAAAAATTTGATTTTTAAAAATTTTTTAAAAATTTTTAAAAAAATTATTTGACGAAAATTTATAGCAAAAAAGTTGACCCATCGGATGGAAACAATCTTGATCAGTTTTTAAATTTTGTTTAATAAAATTTTAGGAGTCGAAAATATTCCCAAATAATTCACAAACAAAACGTTTTAAACAAAAGAACGACATTTTATCCCAGCTATCAAAAAACAAAATTTTATCTCTGAAAAAACCTTGGTACTTTATGGTTATATCACCCCCTCCCCTATTTTGAGTCTCAAAGTCTTCCTTAATATGTAATAATGGTCAGCCTTTTTTCCTACCCCAATTCTCTCAATTTCCCTGTGGTAAATTTGAATGATTGAAAAATTAATCTTTTCTTTATTAATGCCTCTCATTCAAATTTACCACAGGAAAATGGAGAGAAATTGGAGTAGGAAAAAAGGCTGACCATTATTACATATTAAGGAAGACTTTTGGACTCAAAATAGGGGGGGGTGATATATCCATAAAGTACCAAAACCTTACAGTATTCGCGACTTGTATAGCAACATTATCAGGATTAGTCCAACTTGTTCCCTCTACAGCCAAAGTTCCATAAGTCATTTTCATTTCAGGATTTTCAATACATTTCTATAAAAACTAGAATTTAAAATTTTATAAAATCCCAAACTGTTGATTGTTTAAGAGTCCCCCGTTCATAATCAAGTACATGTTCATCCCCTCTTTCTATATTCCCAAAATATTTTTTTCCAAGCTCCACCAAATAATCGTGGTCAACTCCCCCTGCAGCGGTTAATACCATTCTTGGGCCCTTGTAATATTTTTTGACATATTCAATTAAATGATCTCTTGTCATATTTCTGGAATGATAAAAATTTAAAAATGATTTTGAAAGAGGATTTTGAATATTTTTTATAAAAATTAAATTTTTAAAATATATTTTTATAAAATAAAGATTTTCGCATAAAAAATATAATTTTCGGAAGAGAATCTCAAGAGGAATAGTATAAATCTTTTAAATTGCTTCAATTTTAATCTGTCAGAATATTAATTTTAAAACATTAATTACCAGCTTTAACCCTCTCCCGCTAAATTTCCCATTAAATGTAAATGTCAAAAAAATTTTTAGAACCCAAAAGGTTTAAGTTAATAAATTTTCGAGTAAATATTATTTAAAAATTTTTGGTCAGTTCGTAAGGTTCCCTTGTCAGACTTAAACCTAAAACATGTTAAAAGCATGTTAAAATGTTAAAAGCTATCTTTAAACGATTTAGAGCTAATAACTTGAAATTCTCCATCTGTAAATCCCCCAACTCAATTTTCTCCCACACACAATTCCCAACATTAAAAAACCCGGTATTTCTACTAAACTTTCCAATCTCAAAAAATTCATTCTCCAAAAATAAAAAAAACCTTTACTTAATATTTTGGTTAGTTCCCAAAATCGTTCTTTCAAGAGGCGATTCAGCAAAAGCAATCGCATGTAAATGATCAAAAACAACTTCTTGTACATTTTGTTCAATCGATTCAGCCTCTCTAAGAATTACTTGTTGTTCTCGATAAATTGCCCCTTCGTCATAAACACTTCTCAATAAAATATCAGAAAGGATTTCGACAGCTAAAAAATAAAAAAAAATTAAAAAATAAAAAGCAAAAACATTTCTCCAAATCAGAAGACAAACATTTTGCGTAATAAACTGTATGTTCCTTTAAAAAAATTTTTTAAAAAAACTTAAAAGAAAAAAATACTCTTGATGTGTAAGCATTTAAATGTGCCCCCATATCCTCTACTTCCAATTCTAGTTGGTGTTGAGTTCTTTTCTTTGTTCCCTTAAAAATTATTAGGGGTTGAAGACTGTAAAATTAAAAAAAACCTTAAAAGCCATATGTTCAAGAAAATGAGCAACTCCGCTGTTATTTTCATCTTCATAACGGCTACCAGCATCTATCCAAACTCCTACCTGAAAATTAAAGGAGATGAATTAGGTATGCACTAGAGGGGTACGAAAAGATGAAAAAATTGAAAAAATAAATTGATAACAGAGGGAAAATAGGAGGGATTAAAAAATAAATTTTCGACATTTGGAGAGTGAATTTAAAAATGAAAAAAATTTAAAAAATAAAAAGATATTTTTGCGAAATTGAATAGCTACTATTTTTCCCATTTTCCTGTTAACTTAAATTTGACTTGTAAAATGAAATGATAGGGATTAAAATGTCCTAAAATGGATGTCCATTTTTCATGTACATTTTAGGACATTTTAATCCTTGTCTGTTTAATTTCACAAAACAAGTTGAACAGGAAAATGGGAAAAATAGCTATTTAAGTTCGTAAAGAATATCCTTTTATTAAAAATTTTTTTTCCTATTTAAATTCACTCGCCAAATGTCGAAAATTCACTCTCCTACTAGGAAACAGCTCCCTAACATATTCTAACAAAATAAAATTAAAAAAGAAAACCGTTGCTGTCGACATTTTCAAAGTTTCTGAGGCAACACGAAAACCAGAAGGTAAAGTAGTTAATTTATATCCAGAATCAATAATATTTGATTTTACATTTGGTTGATGTGAAAATGCTTTACTCGAAATAACAGTTGATGATAAATTTTTAAAAGAGAAAATGTTTTTGATATTTAAACGGGAATTAGAAAATGAAGAAATTTTGTTGAGCAACATCTATGTGTAAAAATAAATTTTAAAAATTTTGTAGAGGATCTGGAAAAACCCCAAAACCCGGCCCGAAATTGTATAAATATTGACTGCCCTGAAAAGACCTTTACCGACGCAACTCACAACGGTGACACGACTCGGGCACAGTGATCCATTTGCACAGTAAGACTTTTGCACAGAGGGCATCTGCACAGTGGACAATTGCACAGTAATTTGTGGTTAAGTGGATTCGTGTTAGGTTTTACTTATTGTTTAAGGGAATAAATGTTACTAAAGAAAAATTCCGTCATATCACCCGGAAACCGATTCGGACAAATGATATGTCATTCGAAAGATCTCGCCGAGCTGAGTCGAACGGCACAAAATTAGCTTGGGGACTCAGTTATGGGCCGAGATATAGATCCCCGAAAATCGAAAAACCATAGAGGGGAGTAAGCCTAATTTTGGGGTAAAAAATTCGAATATGCAAATTATACATCATTAGGGAGCGGATTTTTATTGAAATAAAATCGAAAAATATGGCCATAAAATATTGAAATAAATTGGCAAAATATTGACAAAAAATGACAAAAATAAGCGAAATATTGAAATAAATTATCGTAATTTAGTGGTTAAATTTAAAAAAAAAAGTTGAAATTTAATTAAAAAAACTGTTTTTGTGCTTGAAAAACTTTTTATGCGCTGTACTGAGAAAAATAGTGATTTCAAGACTGAAAATATGGAAAAAAGAATGTTAGAGATATTGGGATGGGTTAATTACGGATGGAACATTTTGGGGTATTTTGTTCGTTCGATTACTAGATTAACTCGTACTCGAACTCGGTCTAAAAATGTTGAACTCGTACTAAATCACGGGTTTTTTAAACTCAGCATTACTCGATCTCGGTTTTTCCCAATTACTCGGTACTCGACGTACTCTAAGTGTAAGTACAAAAAATTTTAGTACAATCTCCCAGTAAGAATTATCCCATTAAATAAGCCAGAATTCTCCATTTTCATCGCCATAGGCGAAAATTTTGAGAATTTTGGAGGTCAAACAGCCAGATTTCTTGACTTTTTTCCTAAAATTTATGAAAAATCCCAAAATTTTGGTAAAAATAAGCAAAAATATTGAAATAATTTGCAAAATGTGCCAAATATTGAAATAAATGGAAAAATGGAAAAATATTGAAATATATTGAAATACAACTTTGTTCAGAATCACACTATCGAGAAACTAATGGTATATTTGGGCTCCTCTCGACAAAGCGTGTTTGCAAAAAAAAGATATATTTCAATAAAAATCCGCTCCCTATACATCATAATAGGCCGTCAAAAATGGGCGGTGTGAAGCAGCATTATTTTAATGGCAAACGGGGGGGGGGGATTAGCTTTATTGGCTGTATTTAAATTTAGATAGGTTAAATTTAAGTAGTTAGGCGAACGAAAATAAAAAATTTAAGAAGAAACCATTTTATTATTAAGAAACTTATTGGAAAGTAAATTATTTATCATTAAAAATTAGTAAAAATTCATTTTTACAACAAATACTTGCACACTTTAATAAAGATCTGCTAGAATTTGCCCACTTGATAAGCGAACGAAAATTTAGAATATGCAAAAAGAATTAAGAAATATGTACTTAGGTTAGAAAAAGAATTATGAATTCTAATACAATTTAAGATTTTTTGTGAAGGTATTAATAATTAGTAACATTTATTCCCTTAAACAATAAGTAAAACCTAACACGAATCCACTTAACCACAAATTACTGTGCAATTGTCCACTGTGCAGATGCCCTCTGTGCAAAAGTCTTACTGTGCAAATGGATCACTGTGCCCGAGTCGGAGCGCCCTCACAACAACCTCCGTTTCAGTGCCAATTAAAATATCGTAAATATTTTACTTTACTCCTTTCCGAGTGATAAATTTGGGCAATGAATGATTTGCGCAGTTAATTTAGAAAAACAAAATAAATTAAACAATACAAATTTTTTATTGTTGGAAAAATTGATTGTTAATAACGAGAATTTTCGAATAAATTATGATAAATTTAGGAGGTATCCAGTTTGACCGATTCCAAACCAATAAAATAGGGCGCAGCCATTCAAAAATGTGGAAAAAAATAGGGCAAAAAATAGGGCATAATTTTAAAATTTAATTAAAATCTCAAATAAAAAGCATTATTCTGCATATTTTCACTAGTTTAAACCAAATTGTGCAATCCTCAAAATAAAGAGATCGAATGCGAGAGTTATGTGTGAGATTCCGATTACAACTTCCGTACCATTATTCCCGACTTAAGTTAGAAAAATTCTACACTCTAAAGATGACATTTAAGTAAAAATTTTCTTTTTAATAATTATTTTCGTTTAAAGGGGTTGTTTTCAGATTAAAGTGAAAAAAACTTTCCGCCAGATTGCCTTAACAGAAATTATTTGACAACAGTCCCACAACAACAGCAAACAGTTTTAGCGACTAACTCATTAAAAACTTATAGGCTTAAATATTTCATTAAGAAAAACTCTCAGATAAAGCTATTATAAAATTTAGATAGTACGGGTTAAGGGAAAAATTTTTTGAAGTATAAAGTTCGAAAAATAATATGCTTTGGTCTATTTTTGTTAATTTATGCAAAAATTAGAGAGTATAAGGAGGGATTAAAAGGATATAAGGGACTTTGGAGTGAGTAGAGTGTATATCTAGGAATATAAGCTGAAGATATAAGAAGAAATAATTGAGGGTGGTGGTATTCTAATAGAGAAAATACGGTATCTCGAGAAAGGAGGGGACTAATATTAAATCTTTTATTTAAAAAAATGATCCATTTGATATCTAAAATATACGAAATTTTCTGGACTTTGTATAGACAGAACAATAGCTTCTTAGCTTCGTTAAACTTTTAGCCAATAAAAATATTTAATGCCCAGTGTTTCTTGTCCAATTTCCTCTTTGCAATACAACAACACTTGAAGTTGTAGTAGTTTGTTGTTCTATATTTAGCAATTTTTTTGTATATTTTATTATTAAATAGAATTCCTTTTTATAAGCCTCTTTATAGTCGGTACTGAAATTTTTTTGAATAAAAGTGGGTACTATCGCATTGTATCCCCCGATCGTCCGCAAATGTTTACCGCAAACGATGGGGGGATATAATGCGATAGGTACCTAAAAATGTTCTAATTTACAAATAAAAGACCTATTTATGTAAAGAATTGGAGCATTAGAAGACCCAGCAATGTTAAGAATTAATGCGCCAAACATTACATATAACTGAGCATGTAATGGATCGGCAGCCCCGAGAGGGTTAATAATGTAAACGCCTATCAACAAAGAAAAAAAATATCCTCCAATATTGAAAAATACAATCAAAAACAATGAGCGATATACTTTTCTCATTTTCTCGTCATCAGTAACTAAAAAATAAAAAATATAGAATGTATCAGGGTTGTCACAAAATAATTTTTAAAAGGTGGAACAAAATTAAAAATAGAGCACGGAAGGCGGAAGCAGAATAGCCAAAAATTACGGAATTCCGCGGAACGCGGAAGCTAAGGAATTAACGGCTCCGGTTAGTGTTAGGCAGCTCCGGTTAGTCTTAACGTCGCCGCTTGTCCTTAGTTATTCTCATCTATTACCACTTCACTATTCTTATATTTACTATTCGGATAAACATTGTTATTTAATTCTTGTATTATACTGTTTCGCTATGTTAAACCGCACCCTAGGACAACAGTTAGAATTAAAAAATTTTCCAAAATAAGGTTGGATAAAAGCACCGTCTTAACTTCCGTTATGATTTTGTAAGGCGAAAAGGGACCCAATCAAAAATAAATTACCCTTTTTAAATATTAGAATCAAGCCAACAAGACCATATAAAACTATAGCTGGAACAAACAAAATGTATATAAATGAAGATAGAATATTGTCATTAGTTAATATTCTAAAATAATCACTACGACCCCCATTTACTGGCCAATCACCAAAATTAATAGCTGACTTTATAATAAGAAATATTATATAAAATATAAAAATGAACACAGTAGCAAAGTGGCCACGAATATATAGCTTTTGGTTAATGGTTTTGTAGCTAAAATTTGGTATAAATTAATTCTAAACCTGTTGAAATATATGTCTCCCAGCATCCACCCAAAAGGTCCCTTTACAAAGGAGAGTACTTGAGCGTCCGTAGGACTTCGAGATGAAATTTGGTATACAGATAAATCATATCCTACTTTAGTTTTGATTTCTCCAATAAGGATTCGAACTCGGGGGAAAAATACATCGAAAAACGTCACCATTGCACCACCGAAGAACACATTTAAAAAGAAATGGTTTATACTTAAGTAGAAAAGTAAACTATGGGGGATTTTAAAACTTTGGTGGCTTATAACTTGGTCCCTGGTACCCCGCAGCGAAAATGGTGCAAATTTGACAACTAAAGCAGGGTATAATCTATCTGTCTACAAATTTCATCCCGAAGTCCTACGGATACTTCAGGCACTCTCCTTTGTTAGTTCGATAAAAGTGGATGCTGAGAGATTTTGTATCAAAATTCCTACTAAATTGGAAATGCTACAGCCAAAAATCGGTCAAAACTAAGAGAAGTAATCGTAAAAATAGCAGAAAAGAATCCAATAAATGAATGAGATTGTAAATAAACAGCTGTTCCATAAGGAATTATGTTAATTCCGCTTGCTGTAACCGTGCCCGCACAAAATACCGAATTCTCAAAATCGCGAATAGGCTAAAAAAGCTCAAAATCGCGAATCGGTAAAAATATCTCAAAATATGGAATCGGCCAAAAAAGCTCAAAATATGGAATCTTAAAATATCGAATCTCAAAATCGCGAATCGGCCAAAAAAGCTCAAAATACCGAATCGGCTAAAAAGTAGTTAAAAATGTCGAATTTTTTAAAAACGAAAAGGGCCGTTTGAGTGCCGCTGCAGGTCTTTTTCTGATTATTCAGGGATCTGTAACTCAGTCCAATCAGGTCGGATTTCATTGATTTTGGTATCATTCGATGCAGCTCGACGTGCTCTTTCAGATGAGCTATCATTCGGAAACTCGAAATTCGGTTCGGGATTCGAAATTCGGTTCGGGTCCGGGATTCGACTTTTTCAAAATCCGAGCTGAGATTCGTAATCAGCACATTTTTTTACCTTAGAAAAATACTTTCTCTTATTTTTAAAATTTTTTTACGAAGAAGTTGGTCACAACTTTGTTCAGACTCAACTGGCCTTTGCCGCATTGTCGATATTTTTCGATATTTTGAGCTTTTTTTGCCTATTCCATATTTTGAGATTCGATATTTTGAGATTCCATATTTTGAGCTTTTTTAGCCGATTCGCGATTTTGAGATTCCATATTTTAAGAATTCGGTATTTTGTATGGGAGCCGCTGTAACTGCTAAAGTTAGGAAAAGACCAGACAAATTGAGAATTTCGAAAAACGAGTTTGCCGTTAAAAGAATGGCTGTGTTGCTTCTAAGTGCATTATATTTTTTTCTAAATATTTTTAAATTATATAATTAATTTTATATTTAGAGCCCGGATCGAGACGAGATTTCTAACGAAAAGCCGGAATATATCTCGTAGAAGATGCGAAATTTTAGAAAATAGAAAAGGGTTTGTTGGATTACGAGATATCGTGGGATTATGGGGGTTTGGAGGGCTATGCAGTAGGCGGCGTGGTGTAATGGCTAACACATCAGTCCGGTCTACTAAAGATCTCAGCCGCCGATTAACCTTTTGCACTAGCTAGAGGAGAGATATGACCTATGACACTCCCAGTTCGGTCTCTAGTTTTATTAATTACTTGTATTTTATAGTTATATAGCAAACACTAAAATTAGATAATATTCCAATAAATCCAAAAGATGCCCCAATAATTGCTGGCAAAAGAAATTCAAATATAACACCAGCATCTTTATATGTCGAATATTTAGGCTAAATAACGTAATAAATATTTATTTGTTTAAATTATTAAAAGTCAGGTATAATATTTTAGACATGTGATATTAGAATATAAAAACCATTCGATTTCTGACAAAAATAGCCAAGATGGTTATTCCTATTAATTTTTGTGGCAGAATCTGCGTACGCAGAATTTAATTGAAACAGAATTTCCACAGAATCTACGTTCTGTGCACAGAATGCAGAATCTGTTGACAGTTGAAATAGGACCCAGATGTATGCGAAATCTCTTGCTTCATACTATGATTCATTTTTTGTTTAAGAATGAAAAAAGTTATATCGTTTAGAAAAAATTAGTGTTTCGAAAAAGTTTGAAGCGGCATCAACTCACAAGTGTTCTTTTAAATGAGCTACTCTTTGTTTCTCAGAATTTTTACTCTAAAAATCGGTTTTTACTCCTACGTTATTTTGATTTTCAGTTGCCCATGTCTTTTGCAAGAAATTCTTAGAAATTCGAAAATCAGCTAATCGAAAGAAGAACTAACTTTAGCGTGCCCGCACAAAATACCGAATTCTCAAAATATGGAATCGGCCAAAAAAGCTCAAAATATGGAATCTTAAAATATCGAATCTCAAAATCTCGAATAGGCTAAAATGCTCAAAATACCGAATCGGCTAAAAAGTAGCTAAAAATGTCGAATTTTTTAAAAACGAAAAGGGCCGTTTGAGTGCCGCCAATTGAGTGCAGGTCTTTTTCAGTTTATTCAGGGGTCTGTATCTCAGTCCAATAAAGTCGGATTTCATTGATTTTGGTATCAGTCGATGCAGCTCGTCGTGCTCTTTCAAATGATCTATCATTCGGAAAATCGAAATTCGGTTCGGGATTCGAAGCTCGGTTCGGGTCTGGGATTCGACTTTTTCAAAATCCGAGCTCAGATTCGTAATCAGCATATTTTTTTACCCTAGAAAAACCCTTTTGCATATTTTTAAATTTTTTTCGAAGTTGTTGATAAAATTGTTCAGACTCAACTGGCTTTTGCCGCATTGTCGATATTTTGAGCTTTTTTGGCCGATTCGATATTTTGAGATTCGATATTTTGAGATTCCATATTTTGAGCTTTTTTAGCCGATTCGCGATTTTGAGATTCCATATTTTAAGAATTCGGTATTTTGTATGGGAGCCAACTTTAGTTTCTAATCTCGTTCTCTATGCAACAAAAAATTACTCTACTTTAAAAGCTTACATCAATTTTTGGAAGACTCATCTGTTAAAATTTATAAATTTATATTCCAAAATTTTAAATTGAATAATTAATTGTTTGGGTAAATGTTTATTTAAAAAAAAACTTTTTTAAGAGGAAGTATAAAATTATTAAAATAAAGTACTTTTTAATTGTTTAAATTTTGAAGTTAACATTTTTATAAAAGTGTACTAATTAAAATAAATATACGATAATATTTTTTAAGATTAATGTTAAGCAAAAATCTTCCCACGTTTTATAAAGTGTAAATATTATTAAAATTTGTATTTTGTAAATGATTTTGTTCTTAAAAAATTCCAATTTTGTGTTTACCATAAGAAAAAAGTACAATCTGCGACTAGTAAATAGGTAGTCCAACATAGAATTTGGGCGTAGGGGTCCGACAAAACCAAAGGGTCTAGGGGTTTTCGGCTAATTATTTTGGTAATTAGTATGACTATTTTTCCCCGCTTGCGGGAAAAACTTTAATGAACCAAATAGGTAGTTTTGTTGAACCTTAAAAATTATTCTAAAGCAAATAATTTGGCTCTTGTCCAGTTTAAGCGTCCAATCGCACTTTTATACGTCCAATCAATCTTAATGCGTTCAATGAAAAGTTTATGCGTTCAGTAACATTTTATGCATCCAATCACATATTTTAAGTACTCAGTTCTGTACTATATTACCAAAAAATCTATGGGAATAGAAACCTCTACTCACTTAGAGTTATGATACACACGTATATTAGCAGACAGGTTTTAACACATAGAACCTGGTACTTAAAGAATGATTGGGTACGATTGGATGCCTAAACTGGACAAGAGCCAATAATTTTCGAATCCAAGTTAAATTCTATTTTAACTTTTTTCCTATATCAAAATAAAACTAAATCTTGAGACAATTGAAATTGCTAGACGAAAATTTTTTTCAAATTTCCATTTTTAAACACTCTCTCAAGTCCACTCTCAAGTTGAATGTCAGTCTCTGATATAATGTCACTTTGGAAGGTGATTGAAAAATAAATGCCATGGCATTTTAATAGAGAAAATACGGTATTTCAAAAACTTTAAATATTTTTCATAAATTCTTTATTGAAAATGAAATCAGAAAATTTTCATTTTTTCCAAATATTGTGAATTTCTTCAAATGAATAATTTGGCAATAAAATATTTTTTACATTTTCTTCACTAAGATAAATAATTTTAATTAATAAACTTAAAATTTTGGATATTCTTTGTTGTTGTTGAAAGGAAGACAAAAATGTTTGTTGAACAAGTGTGAGAGACGCTTTCTCTCCGATCTCGTTTAGTAATGAGTTTAATGCTTTGTTTTTAACATCTGTGGAAATTTGGAATTTTAAAAAGTGAAAATAGAGAGAGGGTGAGAATAGAGAGAAAGAAATAGAGGGGCTTGAAGATAGCGAGTAGTGTTGGCCGGGATCGGGATTTTGGAATAATGATCCCGATCCCGACATGGCATCGGGACCGAGATTGGACAAAACCGGGATAATTCCGCTCGATCCCGACCGGGATCCCAATCCCGGCCAACTCTATTAGAGAGAGAGTTTTGAAAGGTCAAAATCAACGGCTCTCAAACCAAGCCTTTATTTAAATTCACCTTTTCCATGAAAGAACACCGTACAACCCAGCGACCATTGTTCAAAATTATTTAATTGAAGTTGAATAAATGGAAATATAAATGAATAAAGCTGGTCGTTTGAATTTTTTAAATGGTGAGGGACTGAAAAATTGTATGTAGATATATTTTGTAATTTTTTCATTTTAATTTAAAGTTAAATTTTTCAATTTTAATTAAGGCTCTTTGAGAATTTCTGAATATCCGGGAACGAACCGAAAATCCTCTGGTTCTGTTCTGACAGAACGCGCAGCATTATCTGTCAGGCTGAAATGCCGATAGACTAAAAAATCAACGGCAACTAAAGTTATGTATCAGAGATGGATCCGCTTCCGCCTTCCGTAGAATTCCGCGTAGAATTCCGCTTTTTAAAATTGAAAATTCCCCGTCCCTGCTATGTATGCATATCATACTATTAATCAGAGAAAATTTCTCTCATTAGATTTTCAGAATAAAAAATGAAAATTCTAACCAAAAGGAAAGAGAGCACACAAATGTGCCAGTAATAAACGATGCCATCCTTGATCTAGCAAAACATTAATGATATTCTTTGGAATTTGAAAGGCTTCACAAAATTTTCGTATTGAAACTGACAAAACTTGTAATAAATTAAAACAATGTTTTTCTAATCTAGAAAATTAAAAAGAAAATTTTTTTGAAAATTTCTTTATAATTTTTACATAGAAGATGGAGTATTATTCTTTAGTAGATTTTCTATTCGAAAATTATTTGTTCCAACAACTTTTCTTCCAACTAACTTTTGGATTTTAATAAGTTCTTCTATTGATGATAAATAGGGTTTTTTGGTTAAAATTGGTTGTGGATAAACTTGTTGTGTTAATTTTGTTGGACAAGGTGTTTGATGAGTTATTTTGGTAATTGAATCGGATGGATGGGCGAGTTTTGGAAGCAAATTACGTTCGTTTTGGACGGCTATTAAATTTTAAAATTTTTTAATAAAATGTTCTATTTCTGAATTTAAATTATCAAAAGAGTGAAGAAGGACAGAATAGTTCCAATAAAAGCGATTTTATGAAGGACCAGGAAATGGATGTAATGGGTGGAAACGAACAACCCTACTTAATTGTTCGGAAGCTCGTACCAGAATTCGTGCTCGTACCTGTGTACGAATTACAATTATGGGCAAAAAATAGGCCAAGTACATACAAGTACGAGCAAATTTCAAAATTTCAAACACTGGTTATTATACAGCTATAGCTTTTTTTACAAGAATCATAAAAAACCATTTCTATTCATTTGAACAGCCAAACACCGTCGAAAACGACAAGCTTGGCATTGATTACGTCTTGCTATATCGACAGGACAAGCATTAGATTCTTTGCATTTATAGTTGAGATTTCTTCGAATTGAACGTTTAAAAAAGCCTCTACAACCATCACAACTTGTAACACCTTTAAAAATTTTTTAAATGTGTTCAGAATGTATTACAGGTGGCTCTCACTCCAAAATGCCCTTTCAGGGTTAAACTAATAAAACTCTTAAATTAATGCAGCTCCCAATACTTCAAACTATATATCTAATTGAAAGTAATTCTTAATGAGATTTGACTTTACCATAATGATTTCCAGTAGCTATATCACCACAAACCCGGCATATTTTCTCTGATGATTGCCGTGGCATAATTTTTATTCTATTTTTTAAATTTTGGCTTTAAAAGTCTTTTTAAAAGTAAAAGCCAAATGTGAGGAAAATACTTGATAATTTTGTTTTTCCCATAAATTAACACTTTTTGCCCTCATACCTTTTAAAGTGTATGAAGGCTAAAAAGTAAAAAATATTTAAAATTATTATCCACAAGATTCCCACGGTTTGACTTTATGATACTCTTTGAAGGTCCGATATTACGACATAGACCAGGATTACCTAACAATTTGAATTTTTTATAATAATCCTTCAGGATCCCAAATAAAATTTTAAAAACAATTAACTGTTTGGATTAATTACCTCCCATTTAATTACCTATATTTGCTTTTTTATTAAAATTTAAAATGTTATCTGAATGATCAAACCTATAGCTAAAATAACAACACAATTTTGTTACACGGCCTGCATAATTCTAATCTTACAAATAAAGTTAAAATATTATTTAACTGCTCGGTTCGTCGCAGCGCTGG